AAAAGATCTGGCAACTTTTCTGTTATGTATTATTGTTCTAAGATAATTATGATTTTACATGATATGTTAATAAGTGAAAAATTTTGCATCTTGAAGACTGATGGACTTGAGTAGATAAATAGGTTTTGCTTGCTTATGATATCCAATAATGTACTTTCTAGCTTGCAAATTGTGAATTTTTACTACTTACATGCAGATTTTTGTAGTGTTATTAATCTCGAGTGTATCTGCTTGTCCTATCATTCTTCTTATTCAATAAACTCCCAGTCCATATCACCTGAATGTTCAGGTTTCCAATCAAAATCTCTCCAAGATTATGTCCTCTTCCAGCCAAGCTTGTGAGGTCAATTGTGTTTCTTTTACTACAGAATCCTTCATGTTTGAATATTTTAAGGAGTTCTAGTTTTCACTTTGCCAGAATTTCCTTTATATAAAATTTAATTATTAATTTACAATTTCCACTTTCCCATTTCCTTATACAATGAAGGGAATTATGTGAATGTCCATCCATGTAATATGAGTTGTATAGACCCTTGAAGAAAAGGATAAGGTTGTTTCCATATGATACATTTATCAGAGCTAAAACTAAAAGTAAAGATATAAGAACTTAAGGAAAAGAGTGAAGGAGAATGGTAACATGAAAACAAGAAAATTCATTAACTATAATACAAAATAAAAAACAAATGACACTCATAGGAAAGCAATCCTTACATAGTATTTTTTACATAACAATAAGCACAACCATATAGTATTTGACTGTAAGATAGAAACTCATAATAAGCCAGAAGTGCCAATCTGGTATGTGCGGGAGAACATAGAGTTTTAAGGATTAGTGGTTGAATGAGTTTCTGGAATGGTAGGAAATGTTGGTTTAGGCAGCTCAGGGATTTCTGGCAATTCTGGCTTTGGCAAGCCTGGAAACTCAGGCATCGGCAGGTTTGGTAACTCCGGCTTTGGCAAAGTTGGGATTTCTGGCAATGATGGAAATTCAAGCTTAGGAATCTCAGGCAAGTCTACCTGGAGAAGGTGGCGCAAGGCCGCAACTCCTTTGCAGTCATCCATTGATGAAAGAGTGATAACTGCCATCATTGCAAAAAAGATTAGACGAGAGTGAGTCATTTTGTGAGCAGATTACAGAAAGATGTTTAGAGGAAAAAAATTGTTCGGGTTTGAATGATAGTGTTAAGCTTTAATATCATGAGTATTCATAGCTGATAGATGGGAATAAGGGTTGGTGGTTAGGAAAAGTTATGTGTAGTTCAACTTCCCATCCATATCATTTCTACACGTATGAAATTCTTCATACAATAGTTTGAAGTTTATAAACAAAGATGTACAAAAGTACGTTGTCCTAGTTTAAGCCACGTCAATCTACTAGTCATTTATCCTGAAATGCCTATCTTGATTGATTTTATTACGTAATATCATGTTCTAATACTTGCTTAATTCTGAGATACACAGGGTGGGTGTTGAATATTTTATAAACTCTTTAGATTGTTTGTCTGGTTTTCTATATTCCACAAGAAATGCAACTGATGTAAGATACACCAGAGTTGTTCTTATTAGTCATCTGCAGACAACCCACCTCATCATATCCTAAAGGTGCTCAAACTGGTAGGTATTCTTACCCATTGACAATAAGGGGCTGGTGTAAATTCAACTACAATTTTTTCCTTTGATAAACAAGCCATCCAGAAAATTACTGAATCAGATTGCAGTCTGAAACATCTTCATTGTTTTGAAATATTTTGTCTAATATTAACCATGAATCATGTAATTAATGGACAGGTTAACTCATATTTAACCTATATATATATATATATATATATA